AAACAGGGATACGAAGCTAACACCCTAACCCAATAAGGCAGGAAATTTACGCAGCCATCTTTATTGCAAATAACTGGAGTTTCTCATTTCTAAAAAGTACAAAAAGGCACACAAATTGTCAAAAGTGTGTCTATTTTTACAAAGATAAGACTGCACCGCAAGAGTCAGAGGACCGAATCAACGTGCCTTCCTGAAATGAGGAAAAAATAGCACCGAACCCTTACGAAAAAATAGAGAGCGCATGAGTTGTAATGCTCACCAAATTGGCTTCTTTCGTGCCTTCTTCTGCCCGGGTTTCTTCCGTTCACTGAAACGGTCATCTTGAGTCAACAGACCTGCTGCACGCAGCCGATTTTGGCCCGAGTCGCCGGGAAGGAAGCAGGCCAGTGCTCGCGCTAAGGCCAATCGCAGTGCGTTTGCCTTGGAACTATGACCCGTCTCAGTGTCGGAGGCTACTCGCGTCACCACATCCACTGCTCCTAGCATGTCTTCATACAACAAACGGGTAATCATTCAAGTGCTCTTCATGACAAGCAGACCATCGGATGTATGAGAGGCGTTTTGTGGACAGTGAAGTGCAAAGGCCTCTTCACCACATTATCCCCGCTCCGGGGTCGCAATACCATTTTCCTTGTTGCGGAATTGGAATACAGCTACCGATGTTAACGAAAAAAACATAGATTTATTTCAGACCAACTTACCGGTGTACTGTAATGGAAACATGATTTGCTCGCGATCACCAAGGTGAGGGAAGTATTCCAGAAGTTGTTTGTCATTAATAGTGAACCGCCCCACGCCCGGATGGGTCATCCTTAGCTCCACAAAGGCGTGTTTCTTCTGACCGTAGGTGACAACGTATCGCGAATGCTTTTCAGGATCAAGTTGGGGCTTGGAACAGGTAATTCGTGAGGAAATAGCAGAGTTAGATAGAAAATAAGCAGGTAATAAGTAATACCTCGGGGAAAACATCCTTATAGGTAGCTTCTTGAATGGCCGCACGGAAAGAATGGATGAAGTCCTCAGCATGCCAAGATAACGGGTGCTTTAGAAGAGCGTTCATCAGTCTCATCCAATCCTCATACTGAAAACCATTAAAAAACGGCAGAACGTAAGCTTACCATGGTGTCCGAGACGGGTTCCAGCAACTTGCGACGTAGCTGTTCTTTTGTAAGCCACTCACTAGCTGCGACGACTCTAGACGGAAATACTTAAGGCCTTCTTACTTACAATGGCTTTGGATTCTTGAAAGCTGTATAATCGCGATAAATGTAGCCACGATCGAATTTGCCATTCAACTCTTCAAGTAGGGCAGTTGCTTTCTGTATACAAAGAAATGTCCGAGAACACGTTACCCACATGCATAACCTCGTAATACGCCGGCCTTCCAGTGTAGTAAAGATCATGGAACGGTCTACCAGTTTTGTCAAATTGAATTCCTAAGGATTCAATATAAATGTGGAGCGAACCTACTTTTCTTTTCTGGATAAACCTCTTCCGGGGACTAAAAGACGGTGATATTCCAAGAACAGTGTCACCTTAAGCTTAGGGTGAGCCTTTCTGGATGCAAGACTTGATGGAAAGAGATAACGAATAGCTTCATCAATGCCTTCCTGGTTGAATGTTGATAAATTTTGTCCTATCAAACGTGCAAGAAATTTCCTCCCACTGTCATACTTGACTCTCTCTTCCTCTAACATGTTTTCTGCGGCAGAAATCAAACCATTGAGCAGTCCTACCATAAGACTGATAACTGTGTAAATAATACTCGATGGAGGTCGAGATGAGAC